TATACATAATGTACCGAAACCAGGGGTGGATCTAGGATTATTATAAAAGGGTTGCTAGTGTGCTATAATGGTTATTATTTCAAAAACTTATCAAACAGAAAAATAATAATAAATAATGTAATTTTGGCCCTGGTTGGACCTAGAGGGGGCGCTATGATGCTGTTGCATGTGATACTGTTTTAACCTTAATTCTTCCCCGGTAACGGGAAGATATTAGGTATACATTATTTATTATGTTTGTGTTTGATAAGTTTCCTAAATAATATAACCATTGTAGCACCCCTTATAAAATAATCTTAGGTCTACCCCTTACGGAGGAAGAATTAAGGTTAACCCAGCCACGTTGTGAGGGGTTCTACAGCATCATAGGCCATAGCACATTAGCAGTTAGCACCCCCTCTAGATCCACCCTGACCGAAGTACGTTGTTAAAATTTTGTTAGGTATTAAATATTTGTGAAATTTTAATTTTGTAGGTATACTACCTAAAGAGTTGCCATTAGATAAAAAATATTTTTGGTTGCCGCGGATATTGTAAATTATTATGTTTTAACATAATATCAAGTTCAATTGCTCATTTAAATTACCTGGGTAGTGGGTACATTAGTTACACATATGTTGTATTGAAATGTACTGTATAGGTTTAGCTAAAAATAATAATAAACAATGAATTCTACAGCAACTGTTGTAAAACTTATTAAAGCCTGCCTAAAAATGAATTCCATAAATTATAAAAATTATTTAATATTATATCATATACAATATCAATATAGACTGTAGTAACAATAATAACTATATTTTATTATTAATAATAATTTATGTGGAAATAATGTCGCAGAAGTATGATATTAAATAATGATACTTTTTCGAATGAATATGAATTGCAGTAATCGATATAATGATGATCTATACGCATTGGCATTTGCCCTCATTACTCGTGTAGTCGTGTGTGAAGAAAAATATCGGATTAATATAAACGCGGAACATAATATAACTCGATAAATACATGACGTGACCTTTTTGTTATTTATAGTAAACTTAAAAACTATTTGGTACCTAGTTGTAAAACCATTTTTTTTATATATATATCTAACCATAGACTTCACAGCATATTGTGAAGATAAAATCCCAAATGATCAACTCAATAGGCTTATAGTTTAAATTATCGAAAGAACAAATATTAACAAATAATAATAATTGAAACAGTTTGAAAAATTGATTTATATCATATAGTTTGAAGATCATAGTTCCTAAAAATACATTTAGTATAATGTACAGAAATCTAATTGTTATGTATGTTTTACGACCATGTCCAAGAAATGCGTGGACGAAACGAATTTTTTTACATGTTAAGTTATTTTTAACTGTGTTATAGAGTGTTCTGATATTCCGACCGTTACATAATATGCTAAGTATTCAAAAGTTCCAGCAGCCGTCTGATTACCACCGTTGTTATTGCTTGGATTCGCAGGTGTGGGCTAGGCAAAAACGGAATTGAACAGATTATAATATTATAATAGCCACATAGTTCTATAGTTTCAAATTTGCTTCACTCTTGTAAATGTGCAAAATACCCTTATAACAAACTAGCTGTTTTATATCTTTTGAAACTATAATTTGGATAATACCAATATTATATGATATCTCGAGTGTTCTATTCAAAAGCTCCAAGTCACTTTTTCGATCATTTTACAAGCATGCTAAAAACGTAATTTAATTTTAAGCACTATGCCGCTGTCCTGTGGACGTATCTTTTTGACTTGTGTTAATGAGTTTTATTAATGTAAAGTTTACCGGAATCGTGTCATTTCAGAGATGACCGGTTCAATTATTATTTTATTAGCTTAATCGGTTGGCTTCTATGATTGATATAAATGCTCATTTAGACTTTTAAATCACTCCTAAATAAACATCTACATTCTACATGTTTGGTTTTTGGTATTTTTACATCGACATTTTTAGAAAAAAGACTGATCTAAATTCTAAAAGATGAGATCATATTGGACACAGCTATATTATTATCAATGCTTTAAAAGAAAAGAAAGTAGAAACCCTAAACAATGAATATTTACCTAAATAGTTATAAATACTAGGTACAACGATATAAAAATAATTTTTTTAGAAATCGCAAAAAATCGACCGATAAACATAATATATAAGTGTAGTCATGATCAAACGGATCGCCTTGTACACACCTATATAACATCACGTGGGCAGGGTACAACAATCGTAGTAGATACTTAAACTAGATATAATGTTATTACTTATTATTATTAAATACCATAATACCACAGCGGCGGCGTTGGTGTCCAACCCCACCCCCGTCACTTCTCATTTTTTTCACCGTACCTATGAAAACGTAATAACTGATAATTTTCTTATAAATCACATTATATGCATTGGGGGAAATTGCGGGAGGGTCTTTAGTCTGCCAAGCCTCCCCCAATTTAAAAGTCAGTACTCATTTAGTACTGAGTATATATAATTTTTAGTAAATATTATAGGACAGGGGGCTTTAGTGACCCAAAAAAAGCAGGCTTTTGTGCCTATGATTATATTATATGTATATTTTTCTTTTGAATCTCCCCCCGCTCACAATTGGAAATTTCTGTGTACGGCATTGTAATACTGTAATAGGTACCATGTTTCAGTATACGCGTATACGGTATTATACGACGGACCACTCGTCGACGACCCATGTGCACATGGGACCGAGAGAAACTGCCGCCGGATCTATATATAGAAACGCCACTATGGCGGTGTTGTACGATCGGAGTCAAACGTTCAACCCGTCGGCGTCACCGCCGCAGCCGACGGCGACTCGGTACTTCCTCGGCCGCAGTAGTCTGCTCTGCCTGTCCCTCACGCGCCCGCGTCCGATAGTCGTCCGTCCGATCCCTGTTCGATAAATCGCAAAAACGAGAGATTCCCGACGATCGTCGTCGTCGCCATCGTTGGTTTTTATTTTTATCGTCCACTCCTTCGATTACTTGCCGGTTTTTTTTTCATTCGGCCGATGTAATATCTCGCTGGTGGTTCGTTTAATTACATTACGCACTTGGGTTTTATTATATTATTTACGTGTACATCACAGACAGAGAGAGAGACAGAGAGACATTGAGTGAGAGCCAGTGAGAGAGAGGGATAGTGAGGTGACAGAGAGACGACCAGACCGTCAGCCAGCCAGCACGCCCGAGCCCGTATATACGCACCGAGGAAACGACACTCCGCCACCGCTGCCTTTTGCGTGTCTAATACATTAATTGACAACGCCCTTAGTTAATCATTTCCTTCCTCTGGAGCACGCGACCTTTAACTCGTCTGCTGCTGTTACTACTACTATATACTGCTACCTACTCTTCGGTAATTGCATCGTGTACACATATAATAATATTATACATCGTATACGCTGTGCCGTATTTTCGATCGAATAGCGATATAATATTATACTGTGGCGCGGTATGTACCGCGAGCAGTGCTAGAATATTGATGTGTCGTTTACAGGGGAAACAAAAGTTGTCATAGCTAAATTATATAACATAGTTTGGCGTCTGCAAATTTGTTATAACGGTTAATCGCTTTGCATTTTTAATTATAGGTAGGTACTCAAATTCATCGTTTTAATAATTGATTTCATATTTTTAATCGGAATACTTTACCAGAATATTGGCAGGCAATACGGAACATGGAATAATAACTTATATACATAGACAGCGCAGTCGAGCATGAGTTTTTAGTGCGGTAAACGAAACGCTGCCGAGATGTGCAGTTATTGTGACGAGGTATAACGATACAATACGTTTTTTTAATCGACGGAAAAACAGGTGGAAAGTACTTTGTGTATACACCGGCTATGCACGTACCTATATATATATACGCGCTTCACGCAGTGCAGTGAAATCAAGAGTGACTTACACTATTATATAGTTTCGTATTGATTTGTCATTACGAAAATAGGTGTTTATTTTCTCACGAAAAACGGCGTCGAAGTTGCGTCCCATGGCAACATATATTATTATATTAATCTACAGCTGCAGTGTGTCTAAAGTCAAAAGTAACGTTTAAATATTTTTTGTGAAATCGCGTTTGGATTCATTTGGATTTGAGTTTTTTTTTTGTCTGAGTATTTAAAATCAACTTCATTTTATTTTGTTATCAAGCTATTTTTCGTTATTTAATAGTTTATCGAATGTAAACATAATATTATGATGTTATGTTAAAGTTTTCATACTCACTTAAACTGTTTCCGTGGACTTAAATATCTAATCGTACCTACACTATAAAAAAAATAGTCAAGTTTTTGGGAATACTCCTATGATTTTGCCATTTTTTTTGGCCCGTGATTGAATATTACAAACTCAACTCACGAGAGAATAATATAATACACTAATGTAGTTGAGGTAATTTAAGTTCCACTTTAGAATTTAAGAATATATTATAAAATACACTAATCGTGTTATTTTAAACAAAAAACTTAATAGATTAGCACGTTTTAAAAATTCGTAATTTTACTCGTTTGCGTACTAACGTTCGAAACTCGATGATGAATCGAAAATGGTTTAGTTTCAAATAATGTGTAAAAATGAATATAATTTGTTCGCTTCATATCCTAATGAAATATTCCTGATTCGAATCGAAGGTCGTTGCACAAAAGCATTTTATATTATTTACAGTTACCTTGTGACTGTTTTGACACGCTGCGGCATCACGTGTATACATCAGCGTTACTATATATATTACATTATTATAATAGTCTAACCTTAATTTCAAACACTGTTTCAGGCGTGGTATCATAACAGACGTGCGGCCGCAGGTATATACACTGTTGTCATGACGGAGCGCCGTCATCGCCGTTGAGGCCCATCGTCGTCACCGCCGCTGTAGCAGTGTCGTGTCCCACACGCCCGACGGTCGCGCTGACCGCCGAAGAATCGCATGACCGCCGTCGCAGTCGTCGTCGTCGTCGTTGGCTGAACGGTACACGGCCGGGTTCGGCGAGCGATGACCACGACAGCAAACCATCGGGCCGCCGCAGGAGGTAACATGGCTCCCGAACCAGAGGAAGACATAGCGGCCATCGCCAAACAGATATCGGACCACGCGGAGGCGATATACCAGACGTGGAAGGCCCGGGGCCTGGCGCCCAACGAGATACTGACGTGCCACCGCGACTCGTCGGCCGCAGCCGACAAGTTCGGCTCGGCGCTGACGCCGCAACCCAAACTGCCGGTAGACGTGACGGCTCCGGCCCACCATAACCGTGGCACGCAGCTGATGGCTGACCCGAACAGCACCAACAACCTGGAACGGCTGGTGAACAAGTTTGTGGTGGAGGACAAGGCCCGGCTGCAGGCGGCCCGGCAGTCGCGTTCGCTGTCGCCCAAGCCGTTCGCATCGTCTATTCAGTACGCCTTGCAAAAGTTTGAACAGAAGGCTTCCTCGTCCACCGGTCCCGTCCCCGAGCACCTGCAGCCACAGCAGCAGCAAGCCGCCACTAGCAAGCAAAACGTCGGCGGAGGTGGTGCCGCCAAGAGGTATTGCAGCAAGCCGTCGCCGATGCGGAACTATGTGGCTTCACCGGACGCAGACGACAATAAGGTCGTGGAGGGGCCCGCGTGGCCGTTTCGGAACGGTGGCAAATCGGCAGCGATCCAGTCGCAGCAGAACACCTGTGACTTTATGGACGAGGTGGCCAAAGAGGAACAGCGGTTGATCGATGCGCTCAAGAACGGGTCGGTGGTCGAGAACAGGAAGCCCGAAAAGCCGGCCGTGCCCAGCAAAGAGGGCGTCTTGTTGCGATCGGCCGCCGGAGGTTACGATGCGGCGGCGACCGGCCACCGTTCCAAGCCGGAGTTCCTTATCGGGCTGTCCGCGCTCAGCTCGGCCCGGCGGAACCAGCACGCGCACCGGCAACAGGAACAGGTGCCGCATCCCGAGCTAACCGACCACCAGCGAGCCAACATCCGGTCTAATCACCACCAATCCAACCCGGTTCGACCGTTTTTAACGCGTGGTTCAGTCGCCGAGCGTGTGCTCATATTCGAAAAGTGTCCGACTGAACTTATGAAGAACTCTGCCGTCTGCAATTCTGCATCGTCTCAGTCGTCGTGGAAGAACATCGGTTCGGATGTGCACAGCAAAATACAAGTGAGTTTATTATCAAATATATCATAATAGAAAATATAGTCGCTCACCTCACAAACAAAAATGTTATATTTCGATATTTCCTATATAGTTAGTTGTATTTTAAATTTGGATTTTCGAAAACCATTATATGCGTGCACTGGGTATAGCTTACTAATCGCAAAGTCAATAGATTGTTTTGTACAAATGAATGATGAAAATATTTTCTATTTTACTCATTTCGTATCACTATAATATGTATTATGTATATAGGTACTATATTGAATTTGATATTCAACTGTCATTAATATTTCGATTAAAATCATAAAATTAAGTTTTAAAAACTTATTTTTATGCGCTAAATTAATTTAGTAAAAAGATATTTTCTATTATTAAAGTCATATTTTTTAATCAAAATATGTTTGTTTTTGTGTAAAATTGGATAAAAGTAATATAATTACCTAATATATTATTAAACCATAGTTTCAACATCGGTTACGCAACGTAGGAATTGCGAAGCTTTTGTCAGAGTTCGGTACATCGGGGTGCGATTTTTATGCACGAGGCAAAGGTATCAGCGCGTGGCTTGCCACGTGCTCGTTCTCACGGCGTGAGGATCGTTTTATACGAATAGGTTTATGATGCGGCGGGATATAGGATTATTTTAAGCAATTGCTTCATGTCTGAAATGGGTGGGTGTGTGTGTATAAATATATATAATATCTCAAGACCTCCATACAAATATCATGGCAAATATTATAATTAATAATTATTAATGGCCCCCTGCTGCTAATTTTAGTTTAATGAAGGATGCGGTGGTAAAAATATTTAAAATAAACAATAATATGCTTCAATAAGCTTCCATCAATTCTCGCCGCCGCTGGGCCATGGAGCCTACTTACTTATAACCTGTATAAAATAAGTTATTCCAGATTGGGTGGTGCTGATGATGAGGTAGGTGACTTATTATTGAGCACACCCAAAAACAACTTTATCATGAGTTCGGTTCGAAGTTATTCCGTCGACAGTGTTGTTATGGACGTCTCCACAACCGAGTTTGTTCGTTAATAAATAAATACGTGGTGTATGAGTTATCATTAATACTTTATTAATATAATCAATTTTAAAAGAAATTTAATTGTACAGAATACTTATTAGACTTAAGAAATTAACAGAGATTCTACTCGATGGTCTGACAGTTCTACACTAACTCTTATACAGACAGCGAGACACGGTAGGGGCTCGTCGGGCTCAAAACTGTCCACATAGCGAATTCCCTTAGACCATGTGACTCTACCTGTTCACATATTAATATGCTTATACACTATTCTATATATCTCATACTGCGTGTAGCATACAGACAGGGGTTCACAACAGTGTTGACCCGAGATAAATATAATTTTATCTAGATAAAGATAACTAAATTATGTATTTATCTAGATAAATATGAAAAAAAATTATTTTATCTAGATAAATTATCGGATAAATTTTTTTATATTTTTTATGGCACTCTCCTTAAGCTAGTAGCAATATAGAATAACTTAATAGGTTGTTATCAAAAATGTAGATAGTTATTAGTAAATACTACCTACTTAATTAATTACTTAATTGTCTACCTATATTCTATAATAAATAAAAGCTGTTTAATAAATTAAATTATCTGGATAAATTCATCTCGACAACGGTGATTTTTATCTTAGATAACTGTGTAAATTAATATTTTCTATTTATCTAGATAAGATAAAAGATAAAAGAATATTTATCTAGATAAACTCAACACTGTGTGACGACGGGTAAATACATATAGTACATATATATATATGAAGTATATATAGTATAGGTACCTATTTACAGTCATGTAGTTAGGATTTTTCTAAGGGGATGTTTTAATTTTCTATTTAAATATCACTAAGGGTGGGGGGTCAGTGCATTCTCTCTGTTATAGTATAATCAATATTCATATAATATCAAGTATGAGTAGAATAACCATATATGACAACATATTTTTTCGATACCTATCTAAAGCATATAAAAAATAATATGTTTAGTAAATAACATTTTTACTTAAATACAACTAACGAGAAATGTTACAACATCCAAAACACCCCTAGGCTACTCCACTGCCTACTTACGGTGTGGTGTGTAAAAACGGTATATTAATTATTATTGACGGATGCGCTTTTCCGCCCACTGCAGTTTGTATACCCTGCAAAACGTATATTAACATGACATCACAATGTCGCGTCCATATTGTATTATTATACGCAATGTACCTACCTACCTATTACATGGTATGCCGTCCACAATATAGAGTGAAAGCAATAAAGAATGAAACAAATAACGAGAATACAAAATGAGTGAATTGTTTTTTTTTTTCGATAATTTAAAATGTTATAATATGATTGTTGTTGGCTCCGGTCTTGTAAAGTTGTATCCAACAACCTGGAAGTGTATAACATATGCACTCTAAAAACAGCAAACATTATTTAAATAGTAAAAACGATAAATGACAAACATTCAACTTCAAACAAACAAGTTTCAAGAATTAATTTGAAAAACTATCAAAAGTTGTAAGAAATTATAATACAACGTCAATATTGGAATATTTAAAAGGGATACCTATATATAATTTTTCGTTTCAAGTACATATATGTAGAACACAAACATTTTTGATATTTAAAAAAAACAATAACTGTTAAATATATAGTGATCATGTTTTAATTATTTTTATATGGTTTTTGTTACATTTTACTATCAAAATTAATTTTAATAATTTTTCGCTGTATTTGTTTTTGCACGAATTGTGCCGTTTCCTCTTTTTGTGGTATTCAAGCTTTTGATTTCGCTCATTCGCTCGTTGAACCCTATTGTATAATATTACTAGCTGATCCCGTGCACTTCGTTTTCCTTTAAAATTTAAATGTACCAACTCTATGTGACTCAAACTTTGTTCAATTTGTTATGTAATATTCGGTGTATGGTGCTCAAAATGTATCTTACTCTTCTGTTGCCTGGGATAAAAATTCTGATTCGCAGCAGTATATTATCAGGTAGGCAATCTACCTGCTGTAGATCGCGGATCCCGTGCTGTTCGTACGTAAGTTATAATTTAACTCTAAAGCATCAAAGTTATACCAAGTATGTCACTGAACTCCTCCTAAATGGCTGGACTAATTGTGAATGCCGAGTCTGTCGACCAATATTTCCTCCTCATCCACGAAGGAGTGGCATTGTTATATACGTAACTTATATTATGTGAGTATAATACGCTCAATATTTACGTAATTGCGATACATATAATATCAAAACAGCGTACAAAAAAATTAAATGCATTGAATGAATGAAATATGTTAATACACTGTCTTCACGGCAACCAATAATTATTATTATAATAGCTTTAAAACCCATGGTGACCATTTATAAACAACAATTTCCACCGTTAATCTCTTAATCCCCGTTTGAGCACATACCCTGGTTGGACCTAGGGTTGTGATTTTTAGCCTATGTGTCATTCTGATGTATAAGCTATATTATTGTAAAGTTTCACTAAAATCCATTCAGCAGTTTTTACGTGTAAGAGTAACAAACATACTTTCGCGATTATAATATTAGTAGGATATATATTATACCGTACACATCGCGATTGTGTTGTTATAATACAATGTACCTTACTACAGGACTAGCTTGCGTGTATTACTATATATAAACGTATATCGTATCGCAGTAGGTAAACGGTTAATGGACGCCGTCGGATTCTGCCGCGGCAAAGTTAATAAGTGGGTTTTCATTTTTTATCACATATTATATTAAAACAGAGCGAGCGATCGCGCTATAGATGACGGCGTTGAATGCTCGGCGGCGGAGGGAGAATGTTGCAAGGCAGGTTTTTTTATACTTTACTATTTCATTTTACAAAGTCACAAGTGAATGTGTTCCACAGTCGCTGGGTCAACATGTGTTCGGTTTAATAATAGTAATAATACATCGTCATAATAATGATAATATTAGTAATAATATAATATAATAACGCCGCCGCCGCAGTCGGACGCGTCAACGCGTCGCGCGCTAACCGCTGCAGAACCGGAGTGGTGCGGCCTTCGTCGCGCACAATAATAATAATAATAATAATAATAGTGTTATGATAATAATAACGATGCGAGTTTGGCGAGTGGAAAAAAGTCGTCCGGTCAGATGTTCGCGTACGGCTTTTGTGTCGCGACCTCCGCTCGACGCGGTCTCGCCGTCGCGCGTACCTTCTGAACTGCAATAATACATGTACAATATTATTGTATATTGCGGCGTTATCGCGACCGTCATCGGTTTACCGCGTTTTTATTAGTTTGTTTTTATTCAGTATTTCGCTTGTTGTTCTTCTCTTTTAATTGTTTACTAAGGTCGTTTCGTTTTCGTATATCCGCGTAAATTATATACCGTCGCCGCGGTGCCGTTTCGCGCGTGGGCTCGCCATTCCGCGCAGTCCTCCGCGGTCGACGGCGATATAATACTAATTTAACACTCGTTTGTGCGATATCGTCGTCGTCGCGTGCACTTACGCCGCTCAAACGCGCGAATCCCGTCCGCGTGACTTACGCCGCTCAAACGCGAATCCCGTCCGCTTGACTAACGCCCCTCAAATGCGCCTCCCGCCGCGGCTCGTGTGACTTACGCCGCGACTTTTGCAGTATGCACCGGACGTGCATCCGCCGCCGCGGTGTGAGATATGTCGTCGGGACAATATGGTGACGAGCGTACGGTCTTGGTGCTACGCCTGTCAGGTGCTAGTGTTGCAAAGGCACGACGGTTCAGGCGTCGGGGACGATGATCCGGTTCACGAGCAGCCCAGGTTTCCGTACAAACCCTGGAAACGGCGATTGCCCAGGTCTTACAACAAGGTTAGTGATACCGCATATGGTATATTATGGTATCCGGTAATATATATAGACGTACGCGTGCCATATAAATCGAATATCGTGTATTGGTTCAAAATCGGCGCAATACGATTTCCTTCCAACTCGTAGATCCGCGGACGGCAGTGACTTAATAATAATAAATTAATAATAATAATAATAATATAATAGATTATATAAAGCCCACGAATCGTTTACAGCGGTGGTTCATTTGTTATTTTTTGTATGTATTTAATTGTCCGTGTTCCCTTCCCCATAGCACATTTACATTTTGCAGTTGTCAACGAATGCGACCATAACGTTAATGTCCTATACGTGTTTTGGGCATATTATTATATACTTATATGACGACACAGCTGTCCGGCAGCGGTCATGTCCGTTATACAGAGTGATGCCAGGATCCTGTCTTTGTCCTCGTACATATCCGCCCGCCCGCCTACTATATTATGGATAATAAAAAAAAAAATATATAAAATATTATACATCGTAATATATTTATTTAATATATCTCCACGATCGTAACTATATAGGTACATGTGATGTATCGCGGTGTATATACATCATCAAACATTATACCTATGTTCAAATGCTGAATGGAAATTAACACAAATCGACTTTTGGCCTACCTATACATATACTACTTACCTATACGAGTAGTGTTTAAATAGGAACAAAGATTTCATTTAAAGCTTGGGTAAACCGCGAAAGTCATCGGCCGCGGGGCAAATACGGACGCTATCTACAGTATGTATAATAATGTAAATTGTCGTACGAAATTCGTGTGTTTCGATGGGACGAAAGAATTCGTTTAACTGTGTGTAATTTGTACGAAATTACAATTATCATTGTATAAGTATAATATGTATATAGTTAAACTGACTACGGCGGTACGGTTTGTTTTGCTTGCAAAAAGGGCGCGGACGTATTACGAATAGGCACAAACGATTTAGATTTCATGGTCATCGCTACATTAAAGCGGCTACCTTCATCATTACGATTACGCATACATCATATATATATGTATAACTATATATGTATATTGTATAATACAATAAGCACACTGCAGCTGCAGCAGCTGTCTACGTAATTTTCGAATCAAATGAAATTTCCAAACGCCTTTGCGTCGAATTTGATACATATCGGATACTAGTGTACGAGGCTAACTCGAGGGGAGGTGGTTTTAATTTTTCGAAATCCGTTCGTTCGTTTGTAATGCGTATAATATAATAATCTTTGTCTTTCGAATCGTCATTGTACTCATTTGTGTATACTCACAATACATGTATATATAGATAGACGCCTAATACCTATACTATACAGCTCCTATATATTATTATAATAAAATTGTAGTTTATAATATTATAGAATATTATTGCAACTCCATAATATGCATTCGTCAAATGCCATTTCCACGGGTCTTGCGGACTGCGGAGAAACCCATTCGAACCAAAATCCAGAATTATACGTTTCGACGTCTTTCGCTACTATTTCGATATCGTGTGAAAATCGAGTTGTGTATGTCTCAACTCATAGGCATGTGTTCTTTTCGTGTATACCGTGTTACATAGTTACATGTTATATAGTATATATTGTATTACTTTGTATTACCATAATATTTCGAATACGGCTCTACGCGTCCGTTTGTAGGTACCTATATAATATGTTATTGAGTAATCGGCGGATTATGTAAAACGAAATCGCTCCGCGTCTTTAGGTCACGTACAAGATCGTTTTTAAAATAATTGATAATGGACCCCCTCTCAACCGGCATATTGCAGTCTGCAGACGCACGACACCCGGTTCTTATATTTACATCTAAATAAATCTGTATGTGTATATATATATGTATATAACGAGTGTACCTATTATTATGTACATATTAATTATTATTATGAATTCAACGCGTGCAGGACGAACTCTTCGTGTTATAATAATATTATAATCAACATATTATGGACGCGGTGACGTAGTCGTGAGCTTGTTTTTCGGTGGCAATAATATTATGTTGTCCCTCGTAATGTAATCATAGTCGGAGGTCGTGAGTTGTTATCTCTGTTGAAGTATATAATATATACTATTATGTAAATAACTTATAATTCAGATTTGTAATGTATATATATATATTTACGACGATTCGTTATCGTTCCGATTCGTGACTCGTGTATTGTATAAAATCATATTATGTATTTCGTTCTAAAAATTATGTCAATACCTATACATACATTTAAATGTGCTTAAAAAATTGTTACTTCCAAGGGATGACTGGACAGGATGGTGATATGGAAACTCGGGGCGGTTTTCATAAATTAGGCCGATATTTTAGTGATATTTAGTAATAATACCAGATAATTAGGGCAATTCTTCCAGTTCCATGGGTCCTATTTACAGTCTGCCATTGATTGAGTCACACAAGTCTTGTGGGGGGGGGGGGAAGGAAGTGTTTTCTCCAAACGATTATACTATTTTTTTTATAGACAGGATCGTGTTAGTAATCGATCGTATCGTTTCAGAACTACTCGAAGGAAACCAATCAGAAACCTGGAGGGCCTCCACCGCACACTACGTTACAAAGACATACAAAGGCCAATCGTAACGTATTCATTCCTAGGTAATAATAACGCATTTGTTTTTGTGTCGTAACGACACTCGATGTTATAAATTATAATATAGGAGGCGTATTGAATTCAACATTTTGTTTTAGATTCTACTATCCATTCGGCAAGCCCGAGAGTCAACAGCAATGGGATACGATAGTCAAAACAATCACAGATTTCTTCATATCGTTGCCGAATTCGCAAGCTTCGAAACATCATTTCGGTCAAATCGCAAAGGTAACCATAATAATAATCATAATAATTTTTTATACGATATTTCAAATTGTCGTTTTCGTGCGTGTTACAGTTGTGTAACTGCCCGCTTTATTGGAAGCAACCTCTGTTCTTTGCCTGCGGCGGGGACTTGTCTAGTACCATAGACGTAAATACCTTCCTTAATTATTGGAAAGAGTAAGTTCATTGTTGTCATTATTATTATTCAACACTCATAGTAATAATAAATCGATTTTATCTCAGCGTGTGGTCTTCTTGTCACGACTTGCCATCGATATTCATACGCATATTGGCAAGAAACTCAAAAAAACAAACATTATCACCTGAAAACTTCATCTTATTAGTCCAAGATGTGGTCGATTCGCATCCCGGTTTAACATTCCTGAAAACAGCGCCAGAGTTCCATTCTAGATATGTGCACACGGTAATTGAAACATTATACAACCAATTTGTTTTATACTTAAACAAATCAGTCTTGTAAAAAGTTACTTTTTGTTTGTAATTAAATTTTAAATATTAATATACATTATATAATATAGATGCAAATATACAACTATTTAAACAATTTCTGGAAAGAAGTATTTAAAAACAAAAATACAATAAACTGTCTTATATTCTTTTTTACTTAAAATCAATTCTAAAATTATTTTTAATGCAATAAATAGATAATAAAAGAGTATCAATAGGCAATTGTAGTATAATAAAATAAAATCATACTAGAACCACTGGTGACCAGATGTTGTGGTTAACAATTTATTTTAAAAGACGTTAATCAAAATTTGTATTCAACTATTAATATTTTAAATGCCTACTAAAAACCTATTTAAATACAATTTCTCAAGTATACAAGACATATTACAAATTGACTAATACCTATACATTTTTGTAAATTTTAAATTCCAGGTAATATCAAGGATATTCTACAGTGTAAACACATCATGGAGCGGTGATCTTAGTCTAGCAGAAATCAGACGATCAGATCTAATGCGAGTCATTGACCTATTAGAAAAAGAAGAAGACATCAACCAAGTGACTGCTTACTTCAGTTATGAACATTTCTATGTCATATACTGTAAGTTCTGGGAGTTGGACCGTGACCATGATTTATTTATTAGCAAAACCGATTTAGCCAGACACAGCGATCATGGTGAGTTTTATGTTCATAGATATTTTGTGCATACCTAGTATTATAAATTATTTAATTTGTTATAATTTATATAATGCATACATTTTCTATAGCTTTGTCCACAAGAATAATTGACAGAATATTTTCTGGGACTGTTACTAAGAGAAAGCAAAAGAATTCTAATAATAATTATGTGGAAGAAAAAATGAGTTACACTGAATTTGTTTGGTTCTTAATGGCCGAAGAAGACAAACGACATCCTAGAGCAGTTGAATATTGGTTCAGGTAAGATAAATACCAAAATATATGTTTAATATGTGGAAGCCAAATTACACATCATTTGAATATACTTGTAACTATTCTAGATGCATGGATATTGACGGTGATGGTTATTTGTCAATGTACGAGCTTGAATATTTCTATGACGAGCAATTGCAAAGAATGGAAAGCATAGGAATTGAATGTCTACCATTTGAAGATTGTTTGTGCCAGGTATAGAATTGAAATACATATTGTTATAAGCATCTCTTTTAATTTAATTGTTTACACCATTGTCATTATTATAAATTGATTTAGATGCTTGACATGGTTAAACCTAAGTGTTGTGGCAAAATATCATTGGCTGATCTCAAAACATGTAAAATGACTCCGATATTTTTTGATACATTCTTTAACCTTGAAAAATATCTGGATCATGAACAACGTGATCCATTTGCTTCACAGAGGGATAATGAAAATGAAGTAAGTAAAATATAATTTTATAAATTTATTTTTAAACTGTTATTCGTTGTGTATTTATATGGTAATGTATAATTTCAAGCATAACGAAAATGGGAATAAATATTATAAGGTTAGTTATCTTAATCTTTATAGGTTGTTTGAGTTGTTAGATTATATATTTTATTTGTTATTATTTATATAGTCTAATGCTCAGTAAGTTTATGAACCGTTTTGTTGTTTCAGGCATCAGACTGGGATAAATATGCTGCTGAAGAATATGAAATGTTAGTAGCTGAAGAAGGTGGAAATGATGCACCAGAAGAAATGTAAGTATTTCATAGGTATTATATTAATGTGACCAATGGATTCTTTACGGAAATCTAGGCAATGTTTTCAACTTTTCATTACCACCTAAATATTATAAATATAAAAAAAAATTGGTGGTAATATTATTACAGAATAACAGACGAAGACATTTGAAGGAAGAAATATATATGACAGTGGTAAGTGTCTGTGGTCTGTTGTGCCGTCCTCCACTGTTGATTAGCACAATCCTATAATTTTGTAACACACCCTTTAACTAGATCATTCCTTACAATTGTTTTATTTTTTTGTATAACCACTGTAGCTCTAATCACCTCACCGTAATAACACCATTTTAATGTTGTACAAAGACTGTTGTGTTTTGTTCTTCTGTATTATAGTTATTAATGATTATAGTTATAATAGCATTAATGCCATAATTTTTTTTTTAGAAATGGAACTGATATTGAAGATATTCTGTCACCCAATTTGGATGATGTATTAAAATCATGTACGTTTAATAAATTATCCAATCAGCCTAGAGTTTTGGTCACCGATTTCTCTGCACCGTCTACTATGTATGACGATAATGATTCGTCTGACTATGCTGGCGATAGCGACGATGATATTTAATTTATATACACAATAATAATACGTAATAATAAGTTATAAATAATAATAAAAATAATAATAATAATAATTGTAGTAATATTATAGTAACACAACCACATTATTTCTTTGTGACAATGGGAATTGCTGACATTATTATACCAAAGAATATAGTTGCTCATATTGTCCTCTTGTTCCCATGTTTTACTTCTGTTGTTTACTTAAACTTTTAAATTCATAATTTTTGGCAAAATGTTACAGAACATTAATTTATGTGCGTGTTTTTGTTAATAGGCTATAGCCTGAATATGGTCATTATTATTTTGTTTTATTTATGGAAGATTAATTGTTGTTGTTTTCAAAAATGTATAAAGCATTATAAAAGGTGTCTAAAATTGCGCCATGTACCAGATTTTATATTTGTCATTATTATAATTTTTTTGTATGAAATTTATAAATTGTAAATAATTAATTCAATTTTTAACTAGTTAAATTAATTTTAAATACAAGTAGTTTATTTATAATAATGTAAAATATGATTAAAAAAAAAAAACCAAAATATCTGTTAAATATGACGTTATACGAATCTTATTGAAATAGTTTTAAGAGTTGTGTCCGTTCTGTTATAAAAAAACCAAATTATTAACATAGTCTAGTCGAAAATAGATCGTTATTATAGTATGTACTAATAATAATGACATTATTTATTAATTACATATTTTTAAAAACAACATCGTATGAAATATTAAAATCTAATTTCTCTTTCTTTAGTGTGTGTTTTATTATGACAATTAAAAACCTAATCTATCATACTTGTATTTACTTATATATTTTAATCTAATATTTAATTAGGTATGCTGTATATTAAATGTGTAGTGTTTTGTCGCAACTCATCTTAAGTGATATTTATTCATATTTTTAATCTTCTAATCCAGGGGTCTCCAAACTTTTTTATTCAAGGGCCACAAAAAAAATCAAATGCGGGCCAAAAGTTTATTAACACATAATATAATTTTTAACTTTATGATAATATAGGTACCTATATAAATACTATGTTTACTTTACAATATACTTAAATAAAAATAAATAGGTATACATATAATATAATATAAATACATTTTAAAATAATTTTTTTATCTATATTTACCTATGCGTCCTATGCGGGCCACGGGCCGGTTAAAACTTTTTCGCGGGCCGTATCCGGCCCGAGGGCCGTAGTTTGGAGACCCCTGTTCTAATCAATTACCATTGATTTTTTTCAATGGTTAAAAAAATCCTGATCGTAAGATTTTTTAATTATTCTCGATGACCTTCAAATAGATCTACACCTTATTATAATTATACATTTATACATGTTTAAGTATACAACTACAGCATTATTCAACAACATTCTTACCTAATTAAAAAAAATAAATGAATCTACAATTCCTATAACTTTTTATACTTAGAATTATCGTTTGACAGTTTATGTTTAACAGATTTGTTTTTTGACATATTTTACTCACTAGTAGCACAAATGCACTGTAGTTAATGCTTACCCATGTATGTTACAAAATTACTTAAAGTAGTCTTCTTCCAGTAGTATATAACTTAATATTAAAAATTAAACATATTTTTATGTTTTGTAAAATTATGTAAGCAATTGTATGGTTGTTCATTTGTTTAAAGTGATAAATAAAAATTAACAAAAATATATATTTAAGCGTTTCAGCCCTGTTTTTCATGCATTTTCTTTAATTTGGAATATCTGATTACCAAAGCATGCACATTTCTAAATTATACTAATGTATATAACTTTGAACATAACATAATTATATAAAGATATAACAATAATTGAAGTCATATATAATCGTATACAATATTGTTATATCATTGAATTTAAATTTAACATATAAATTACAGTGACCCGCTCTACACTTACAGTAGAATGGTATCCACTTTCCCGACTGAATTATTATATGTATATTTAATATTTGACTGCACTTACTATCAAATTTAAAGGTAAGAACATAAAATATGTTCTGAGAAGTGAGAATATTATCTGTTTTTTACAATAGCATTTTTTAATAGGTACCTATTTAATTTTAAAGCAAGATATGAACATTTTTAAATGCTGATAATTCACATACACGATGGGTACCTACTACCTAGCTATATCATATTTCTGTTATAAAATTAAAGTATAGAAAAAAAAATTTCTGTAAAACAATAAATAATTACCAATACCATATTATGCCCATATAGAACCTTTAAGTTTGATGATTGTCAAATCCATTCTAATATTAAAACTAACAACACAAAGTTGGAACTCCTAAATGCTAATATTTACTGCTAGGAGGTATGTGTGCTGATGACATCAGTTGAAGGCTTTTTTAATACATATTTTACTTTTTTTTTAATTTTGAAGTAGAAGGATTTTAAAATTAATCTGGATAGTTACAGCATCGCTGAGTAACAATTTATTTTAAAAAAAATTTGAAAATGTTAGTTTTACCTATTGAAGGGATTGGACTTATTTTCAAAACGACGTTTTATGTAGAATGATCTCCTTCTGACTGCTAAGCTCTGCTTTACAAATTACTTAAATGGTGATATTATATACTTTGATAAAAATTTGGAAAATGTTACTTTTTTTCAAACCTAGGTGCTGGTGATACCTGTTGAAGGCTTTTTTTAAAACAAATTTAACTTTTTTTGAATTTTGCAGTGTTAGATTTTCCAACAAACTTCAAAACTAAGCTAGATAGTTAAATTATTTTTACTCTTGTTCAGCTATTTAAAGGCATTTTTAAAAAATTTTTAGTTTTTTTCTATAAATATCAATAAAAAGTGTTTAGCCATGTCGAACAGCATAAAAATGTAATAAAAGGTTCGTGATAAGGATTTTAATAGTAGTTTAAAAGTATTAAGTATACCTGTATATTTTTGCGAGCATGATTTTGTATTAGCGTTTAAAGTTTAATTTTGACAAAAATTCATGGAAATCACTAATTTTTTTCTAATTTTTTTGTACCTAGATAAAAATTTATAAAACGCTTAATTTTTTTTAATAAGGATTGTATATAAAAAAAATGTTTCTCATAAGTAATGAATATTGTAACCAAAAACTCTAAAAAATATTAAATATTTATATTATTATATATATTTTATTTATATTTATATATATTTAATTTTGCAGTTTGCGTTTGAATCAACGTGAAAAGTGGATTGTTTTTTTTTTGTGTGTGTGAATACTGAATAAAAATTGAAATTTGTGCCATGTTTAGATTGTTATAAAATTCCCTATAGATTTTATATATTATTAATTTTATCTTAATCTTAACAAACCTACCATTTTATCTTTTATATTGTATCATACTGGGTCAAACGCATTATAAGAAACTCCCAAACACATTAGGTACCTAATTTATTATGTGGGTAAAAAGGCAATTCGTCCAAACGCATGACGCTCTAAAAATATATTAACACAGTTTTTTTACTATAGACATTTTAAGTTACAATTTGGAAGAAATTAGATATTTAACCAAATAATAACAATGAATTATTCGTGGGGAATTGTAAAATTAAAAATTGTACTATATTGTGTGCAATGACATATTAGATTCTGAGTGGAACGATGAATGTATTGATTTTAGAATAATGTGTGTTTTTATATTTTTTTTTTATTTTTGTGTCTGTGTACACTATAAGTAGTCACTAGTCGATATAATGCTTCGATTTTCAACTTCAGTATCTTGTTCGATTAAAAGTGAATATTATTAATGCATTGGGGAGGTCAAATTCCCACTAATTTTCAAAAGCGCCAAGAAAAACAAAAGAAAAATTAAGGAAAAACGAGAATTCTTACGCAAAATCGATTTTTCATAAAATCGACTTTGCTTTTGGTGTAACGTTAAAACGAATGGCCGTAGATACATGACATTTTCACTGGTTGTTTATATTTCCATTTTCTATACATGATAAAATTTTCAAAATATTTTGATTTGTTTTGAACTGTTTAGGGACATTTTCAGTTTCCCATTTAATTAGTTTTTTTTTCTATGAATGTCAATAAATCTTTTATTCAACATTTGAAAAATATTAAAAATGCATAGGCAACATTTTTTTTTATAAGCATTTAAAGATCGAGTTTTGACAAAATTTATCAAATTTAAAATTGAAAAATTATTTTGTAGTTAAAAATGTTCAACTTTTATATCTAAGGATTGAAAATTTAAAACAAGATTCCACGTAGGTATATGTAGTTAATTCTGTTACCAAAAAATCTAAAAAATACAGAAGGAGTTTATTTTTATAGTCATTTTAAGTTCAAATTTGGTCGAAATCACATATTAAAAACCTAGAGTAACTATTTTAGTAATTTTATAATATTATTCGTGGGTACCTACTTGAAACTTCTAGAGTGTTCTATATCTATGATAGAATCACGGTTTGTTGTTGATGTATAACGCGTTATAAGTACCTAATGGATATTGTGATATGATTAATTTATAATTTATTATAGGTCAATTTTTGTTTTTAATACCATAGATATGTATATAATATGTCTTAAACCTAGACTGACATACCGTCTTCACTCTTCGCTCAGAATCGTTTTTCTTATACAATGTCACAATGATATTATATCATTGAATTCAAATTTAATACCATCCATTATACAGTACCCACTTGTAACCTACTGTACAGCAGAGCACAATTTAGCTCATATATTTTATATTCTAATCTTATTCGCATTTATACCACGAACTTGTCAACACTGTTCTATACATTTCTACAGTTCTACATGAGGTGGTATTGACCCCTAAAAATGATTAACAATAACATAATAATATGATAGTAATATTATACTAATATAGACTATTTAATTAATTATTAATTAATACAATAGTCAATAAATACGGTGTATTTTCTGCAAAAATTAAACTGACTTTCCGTAATACATATCGATGGTCAAAAGGCCAATTGTCGTAACCCTCACTTTGGTCGAAAATGGGATTATCATGAAATATTAAATTTCATATAAT